CTCAAAGTAAGATTCTGCTGATCTCATCGCTTCCGAGTCAAAATTGAAACTCAGTAAATTCATGTAATTTAGATATATTTAGATGAAATTCGATTTCAATTGGATTTTCTACAATGGAGTTTTAGTTAGAATAGTTAGATTGGCTTGTGATTTTTGGAGGTCCATGGTCCAATGTGGTCCCAATCCGCTTGGGCTCTTGGGCTGCCGGCAGGGTCCGTATCCAAACTGAAGAGCAATGCGACATGCGCAATCGCCTGTCATTTGACAGCTGTAGCCAACTTCATCCCGCTTTCATCCGACTGCACCCACTTCAATTATCTGTTGGCTGGGGTGCAAAAAGGTATGTCACATACAGAACTGAGACTGCAAACTTACTTCACGAGCCAAATACTAAGTGAAATCTAGTGTATGTATCACAGTGTCATCACGCGTTTTTGACATTTGACTAGATTTTATTTTTTGTCGTGCATGCTGTCCATACTCTACACGCTGAATTAGCTCCGATCATCCCCCCACACCGGGCAGAGCATGCCACAGCCTCTCCCAGCTTGCATTCAGCGCCCAGCAATCCTCCTTTTATGTGAGCCAATGGGACCTCAGGCTGCTCTCGGAAAACAGATTAAACCTTTCAACAGTACAGAACTGTATATAACAGTACATATTTCTATATATATATATTATATATAAATGTATATATATATATATCGCATATCGAATTCTGCAGCATGCCGGAGTCTTGTCTTTTGCCGTGAGAAAGTTGAAACCGTGGCTACGATTCCACGCGCGTCAGACAGCGAACTCGTGCTTCGTACCCGAGCGTCCCAGCTGGCACCACTGGACTGCACCAAACGCAGCGTCGCTTGTCCGACTTCAGCCTTAGCGGCGCTTAGCGGAGTCAAATCAACTTGGGATGTGGTTAGCCGGGTAGAAACAAGCGGTACGCTGTGACAGATGGAGCAAGATCCTGAGAAAATTACCGCAGGGAACCAAAGAGTCCGGCGTTTGCTGCAAGCACGATGGAAGAATTCGCTTCTGCAAATCTAGTGTTGCCTCATGACATGGATCTGTCTGTATGGTCAGGCAGCAGTTATTTCCACGCATCACTGTTCACCTATACCTCTCCTCATCTCCTCGTTTCCTCGTTTCCTGACTTGTGGAGAAATTGGCTCGGAAGCGACTTAGCGGCTTAGCGAACAAGCATAATGCGAATTACTCGTGGACAGAATTCCTCATCTTGTCCTTTCTGCAATGGAAGCACATGATTTCCGCGCCTCACCGACGTCAGCTGGTCTACCAGAAAATTGCAAGAAACCAAACCTGGGCGACTTTGGCAGTTTTCCTATAGCACCGAAGCAAACCATAGCAATGCTCTCATTAATTATCTATCATTATCTCTCATTATCTCTCGTTCATCTCGGACCCCGCACTGTGTGTCACTGATGACTCGAAGGCGTAGCTTCAGTCCAGGACCAGACAAATCCTAACCAAGTCTGAACTCCGTGCATCCTTGTGGCGTTTCTGAATTCGTATTTATTCGTAGCATCATTGGGTTCAACACGTCGCACCTCAGTAGTCACAGTGAATGTCACCTGCAGCCAAGAGCGAAAATCTGCTGAGTTTGTCTTTCGTCATGTTTGAAATATTTGAATGATACAAAGACTTTAAACATCTTTAAAATATAAACCACTGCGGTACCACATTAATGCTGCGACGAAGCAAGCATGAAAGCAAGCAAGCCAGCCTGCTCGTCGAAGCGCCAAGGATATTGTGTACCCTCCGCCCCTGCTGCCTGAGCATCACGATTTTCGGGAAGCCACATCCTTGACATGGAAACGCAGAAACTAAACTGATTTTGAGATCGTCGTTTTGGAACGAATTTCTGTGGAACATTACCATTTCAGAAATTCCTAAGCACCATCTAAGCACCTAAGCATCAGTGCCAGCATGTCATTGAAACACCTTGGAAGTTCTGATGGCACTGAAATCACTGGAATCTTAGAGTTCTCCAAAATTTGAAAAAACCTTCTGTTCCAAATTGTTCCAAGATGCCAGTGATGTTCCACATTTTTCGCAACCTGTGCCCGTGCCCGGCTCCGCTGCCTTCTCTGAGCGCGTGCTGTTGGGATTGTAGTCCGCTGGCTCCGTGTCCTCTAGTTTCTCTCCATAGTGCAGTAAAACATCATGACTAAATCAATATTATCATGACAACTGCAGAAAAATGTATAAAATACAATGAAGAATACAAGGAAGACAAGTAATTAATAGACACAATTACACCAACATACACCAACCACGTTCCAAAGATGCATCTTAAAACCATCTAAAACTACTGTTTTGACACATTCTTGATGAATATCTTGATGAAAATACTTCATCATGCCGCACAGAAAGTCTCCACGAAGAATAACACAACACTTTGGGCTGTGGAGAGCGCACAAATGCGTGCATAATGCAAGATCGATTGCCAGCCTTCTCCACAGAACCCACGTTGAGCTGCAAGAAAGGACCTCGGCGACTTCGCCACTAAGGTTTAGCCAACTCTGATACTCGAACCCTCAAAGCCACTCAACTGATTCTGAACCACTTGCAAAATTTTATTGAATTTCATCCATTCATCCATTCATCATCCATTCTTGTCTTTTCTTCTATCTTTATTCTTGTCATTTCTTGTCTTTTACTGTAATTCTTTCATTTTAATCTTTTCATTCTGATCTTCTCTCACTGGGTTCGTTGGCGGCTACGTGTGAAGTTGCCCGGAGCGGGCAAACCCGGTAGCGAGGCCGAGAGCACCTTGGTGGATCCGTGTGTCTGATGTGACTGATGTGACAACTTAGCCAACTTTGAACGAAAACGACAAAAACGACAAACTTTGAAAAAAACATGAAACATTGATAAAACATGATAACATTTTTGAATCACTTTTGTCATTTCACTATATTTCACTTCTTTTGGGTCTTTCAGTTCTCTTTGTCCATCTTTCGCTTTCTGTTTTCATGGACCCTGACTCGCACAGAGAGCTTGCAGGCTGGAGTCTTGCTGTTTGCAAAGCGTGGCACCTGCACCTGGACACTCCCCCAGTGCTTTCACTCAGTGAGCTTTTGGCTCTTGGTCAATGGAGATGAAGCCGGAGTCCACATTGTGTTCGCAAGAAAGATGAATTGAGATGAGTCGAGTTGGAGTTGAGGGTGGGGTTTGCACCCACAATGCAGAAACACAAGGTAGCTCAAGAATACTCCGGCAAACTTTTTCCAGCATGCAACTCGCCCAATCCTGCAAACAAGCCGACGTGCAATCTTTCGGTGTCTTGAAAATAACTGCTTTGAGCTGCGTGCATGACTTCAGCAGCATTTTTCAAGCAGCTCAATTTCCTAGAGTTTGATGGGTCGAAAGTGTCACATTTCTGATACTGCACACGAATGCACTGATCAAAACTCCAAGCACAGACAATTCTGAAGACGATACTTATCTCCCAGCGACTTCGCCTTTCCTTCTGCAGATCTCCTCTCTTCTTGGAGTTTCCCAGAAAATAATCTGTCCTCAGTAAGCTCTTCCTCTACAACTGGCAGAACTTCTGGGACTTCTGCGAAATGAAGCCTCAGAAGTGACACAGATTCTTGAGGTCGTTACTTTGTCACTGAGAGTATCACTGATATCATGAGCATTTGCCATCCTTAGAGTCTGACACGTAATGCATCTCTTGGAAGATCTCGAGATGTTTCTCCAAACGATATCCAAGGCTTTCGAAAAGCTTTTGCGATGCCAGGTTCTGATCCTCCAATGGCATCCGCAGAAGTTCATTGAACAACCCAAATATGTTCTTACAGATTCTGATAATTGTGAGATCATGTCCACACATTTCCAAACAAACTTCTGAAAGCAGAAGTTACCAAATTTCAAAAGCTCTTAGCAAATGCTGCTCTCAGGAACAAATCAAATAAGAATGACAGCACGGATTTTCTGAGCGAAGGAAGAGAAATTGGAGCTTGTGCAATAAGTAACTCTCCATGATTCATAAAATTTGTATCATCTATATATACACTATACATAATTTATATCATTTATATGTCATATCATTGATATTATATATTATGTATATATATATATGTATCATATTATGATATCATAGTATCTTTTATATACGATTCAAAGATGTTTATAGATGTTGATATTGTTCCATGGCCTGTCCCCAAAATCGTGAGCATATTTTTCAAACATCACGTTGTCATCACGCGCTGTGTTTTCACGTCCTACGTTCCGTTCCAATCCGTTCTGCCTTGATCTTGGCCACGAAGCGCTTCGTGCCAAGGTGTTTCCCGGCAAAGGCCTCGCACGCAACATTTTTTGAGTCAAGTGACAATAACTGACAATAAGTGACAAGGAATGACAAGTCCAAACCGTCCGAACCATCACAAAGAATTCTTGTACAGTCAAACTGACATGTAATAATGTCTAATTTTGGACATATGTTGGACATGTTCCTTCTTTTTTGTCAATGATTCTGATTGGGAGTCAACGGATTCTCGCCCCAGCCTGCATAAGTTGCACTGCCTCTCGAGCGATTCCCTTGCGACGGCATTGCTGATTTGCCACCATCACCTCGAATGAATTGCACAAAAATTGGACAAATTCAAAAAAAGGCGATAACATATGAAAAACCCGTGATAAAAAACATGAGAAAACATACGTGTAAAAATCATGATGAAACCGGAGAAAACACAACTAACCAAACTAACTCTCATTTCATCGAGGCCCTACAAAAACCGTCTTCAGAACGTCTGTGACGTCGACTCGGCCTCAATCTCCCCGAGCTCGTAGAGATCTGCTGGATCATCTGACTGCACACAGCATGGGACCATGGGCTGACGTGAAACAGAATTTTCCCAGTAACATCCAGTGACCATATCTGCATATCTTGCCTGGTCCCATTCTCAAAGACCCCATCCCTCCATCCTTGCTTACATTGCCAATACATCACCAACCGCGACATGTTCGACTCACATTCAGCTGGGGATCCTCTATTCAACATCCTTGTTCGATGCTCGTTGCGGTTGTAAGGCTGCGCCTGTCCAAAAAAGATGTTTACATCTCCGGCGAAGGATGTTCCATCAGACTTGTCAATCAAGATGAAAGTTAGCTTGTCCTGACGAAGCCACAAAGACAATGACCGTGACTTTGTCAAGCGGTTTTGTGAATTCCTCAAACTGCAACATACTGCAACATACTGCAACATTTGATACATTTGCGGGTACACTGATTGAACAGTTCGATACAATTCGTATATTCTACACTAATCTGAAATGTCCGAAATCAAAAGTTCTCTTTTGCATTGGTTGCTAGGTTTGAGTGCCATCAGAATGTTTCAAAATGTTTCAGAGATGATGAAGCCATTTTGTTGCCATCGAATCACAACGAATGATGAAGCTCCTCGGAATCTTGCCAGGTCTGCTGCATTTCGTACTCCTGCAGTCATTGCAGTCACTACAGTCTGCTTCATTCGCTTGATTTCAACACGTTCTGGGTTCATTTTGGAGGAACTCTGGCGATGCACTGCACAAAAGTTCTCCTCTTCGAGGGTCAAAGGCTCAGAGCCAGTGAGTTCCAAGATCTCTGGATCCTCAAGAGCAACAAGAGGAGCAGCAATGGATTCCAATCAGATTCCAATCGAAAAACAAACGAAAAGTTCAACGAATTAACGACTTTCGACTCAAAAAACCTTCACAGGTTTGACAAATCCACAGATTTGAACAGCTGGAGCGTTTCCAGTACAAACGAGTCTGGGTTCAGTTGGAAACATGTAAACACACATTTTGTCATTTTTGTCCTGCATCCACTTGTGGTACATAGGTACCATCCATCGCTCGTAGGGCACCAAGTCACACCTTGATCCTTAGCAGCGTTGCCATGTGCCCAAGTAATCATGTAGCATCGGAAGTACCACAAAGGTGAATCTCAAAGTGGAAGAACACCCCTCTGTTTTCACAAAAAATGTGATGGTGAAAGATGGTGAAAGCAGTAGATTCTTCCTCTGCCTCTGTTTTGTTCCTTGTCACGATTCTAGACCTTCCCACTGTTGAATGCTGAAAGGCACCCACTACGCGAACATTCTTGTTGATCCGCCTTGGTACAAGGGGCTTGATCTATTGTGTAGCTAGTGTAGCTAGATTCTTGGCGGCACCACAGATGGATGGTATGGTCATGTATTGTCAAACCGTTGCTTTCGTTGCAATTTCCATTTTGATCCAGTGATTTGACGTAAAAATGTTTGTTTGTTTGAAAGACACTTGACAGCTGTCACTCCTGTCACTCTCAGAAGCTCCAAGTCTAGCTGCGAGTGGTGCTACAGCACAGTCTCAATTGGAAGGACAAAGAAAATATGTCCCAAAAGCTGAGGGACATTGGGCACCAGATTATGGCGCCATGGCGAGAAAAGTGAGCTTTTCAAAGCGTGAGGCCATGAGGCCATAAGAAAAACCCGCTAGCAGTTCGTACGAGCCATGATCCCAAATGATCCCAAATGATCTCAAAATTCTCAAATGATCTGAAGAACGGTCTGCAGATACATTCGATCTTTGACTAGTCCTTCAAGCTTAACACAACCTGCACTGTCTCTTGCATCATTGTTTGCTCACATGTATTCCTCACATGTTCTTACATGTTTGGTCTTTGAGACTTTGTGCCAAGATCAGAATTCACTGGGAAAAGGAAAGAACAAAACTTGAGTCCTGTTGTCCACTCTACTTGAAGCCCTACTCCCCATCAGGGAAACTCTATGAACGACCAAATAAAATGCTTGTCGCTCTGTGGGAGAATGACAAAAAGGTCTGCCAACAAGTTTTCCAAAAGATTCCAAAACCACTCTACTAACATCTACTAACATCTACTAACTCTATCAACTCTACTGTATCAACAGTTTGGCAACAGTTTGTCAGTTTGGCAACTCTACCAGCAGTTTCGACTCCGCCGGCTCCACCTGATCCAAGGTCTCCCGCAGCAAGTGACCCCCTGCGGCTGCGACTGCCACATTGAGCCTCATGTCCATCACCAAATGATGTCACACAAAGTTACTACAAAGTTCCTACAAAGTTACTATGAAGGTGTCAGGAAGAATCTGTACTTGACTCAATACCGAGCCTGAACCTAGCATGATTCATTTTGAGAGGAGCGAAGCTTTGATCAGGGGCTCGGCATGACACATCTGACATATCATGACATATCTATCTCACGTCTCACGTACACCAGATGGCCATCCCGAACTGGGCGGTGTCGGAGCAATCTTGGACAGTAACAAGATGTGACAGCCATTGACAGCCCGTTTTGTTGCAGGAATTCCATGGAATTCCGGGAGATTCAAAGCGCATTCTATTCGATGCAAACTTACCATGGAATTCTAATAGATCATCCTAGATCTTGCTCTCCGAAACAAAAACAGTGCATTGAAAACGTGGTGCCATCACTTCCTGTTGGACCTTACAAACAAATGGCATCACCCTGTTGCTGTATCTTTACCTGGCATCGCGGCATCACCATATTGCAGTCTCTTTCAATATAAACTAAGGCCATGGCATCCGTCACCTGCGAAAACTGAAAGAGAACAGCAGTGTCGTACAAGGCACTACTGCAATCAGAAAGACACGTAAGACACGCAAGACACGCAAGACACGTGTCAATTGAAGAATTACACCTGATGAAGTTCTGATGGCAAAACAATTTGATGCGGTAAATCCAGATCTTCTTCTGTTTCGCAGCGACTGAGTTGCTTTCCCTTCACCAAGACACACGCAGTGCTAGGGGAAGTATTGGTTTGAAGCAGCGTTTACAGAATTCTTCAGCTTCTTAGAACACATGTTCTTTCTTGCACTGTCTGTTGGCAAATCGGTCTAAAAGGGACATGGTTTTACAGCATGGTGCTTCATATCCAGCTCGCCCCTTCTAACTGCGTCTGCAGTTTCGATATCTGCAAACTTTTCAGGTCCTTTGTACGTTGACTGAGTTGGGGGGGGCCCTTGACTCAACTGGTTTATCATGGCCCAAACACCATTTGTCGGCCCGTTGTGGGTCAAACGAGAACGAGGCAGGATTAGCTGATTAGCACAAATTGCAGGATTTCTAAGGGCCTTCGAGCGGCGTTGCAGTCACAGGAGCATTTCTGGTGCCAGAATAGAACAAAGAACAAAGGCCAAAGGATTGCGGAGCAGGGGTGTCGAAACATTCAAATCGTTCAATAGAAATGCTATGCCATATGAGTCTCATATGACGATCATATGAATCATATGAATATATGATACCTATATATATATATCCCTATATGATTATCATGTGATACCTGAAGATGTGCTCTGTGACATGGACTTGATGTTTCAAGATGTTTCATGACCCGGCGCCAAAAAGATGACTCACAGCATCTGATGGCATCTGAATCGGCCCCATGTGACACCAGTGACACCATGGATCAACATTTCATGACTGTCACCCTGTCTGTTATGTCTGTCTGATGTTTGAAGCTCACATAAGCTCACGAAGCTTGATATGAAATACGGCGCACAGCACAACCACACACACATATCGAACTTGCAGAACGCTTGCATAGCACCCACAAAATGAGGATTTTTGGCACAAAAGAGTGCTGTATTATATAGTGTTGTCACCTTTGAAACCTGCTCAGAGATTGCACCTGTGCCATTGGGAGCATTGCTTGATGGCCAAACAGACTGCTGACTTTTCAAACGATATGATTTCCCTTTGTCGCTTTGTGATGCTTTGTGTCAATTCATGAATTCGCGGCAAGCGTTCACTCAAAAGCAGTTGAGTGACTCCTGCAGGTGCCATTTGTTTAGTGTTTCCTGCGGACTAGAAATCTTCAGAAATCTTCCAAAAATGAATTGTCTCATAAACCAGCCATGACCACAAGAACTGGCCATCTTTTGCGTCCTCTTGGCTGCCATGATGCTGCGAAACCTCGACAACGGGAAAAAAATGAACACGACATAGCACGACATAACACGACAAGGCACGAGGGAAACAGCACACAAAAGAAATGTAACATATCATAACACAAACACGCCATTGTTTCTTGCAATACAAAGGCCGCGACCAAGGGTGCTGATCTTCCTCATCAGTCCTGCATTATCTTGGCATCTTGGCAGAAGGGACTGACTCCAGAGGTATCTGTGATTTTTCTTCAGGAAAGCCTCTTCATTCTGGCCTCTTTGCAAAATCCCTGCCACCAAAAGATCCAAAAGAGTGAATCTGCGGCCGCAATTGGTCTTTCGGATCACACCTGAGATTGTGGCCGTGTATCTTCGAGCATATTCATCAATTCTCATGCATACTGGCTGATTGGCAAGATCTTTGCAGAACTTTCGGGCATGCCGGAGTGGAAAAAAAAGTCTCGGATCTTACTGGAACATGTCATGCCATGGAATGCGTTTGTAATGCATTTGTAATGCCTGCCCTTCAAGCTAAGCCAAGACTCAAACTCCCAAGTTCATGACAAATGGGGCGGATCTCTTCTTTGGTCAAAATCTGTTCTCTGGTCGAACCTTGCATGGCGACTCATGTCAAATTGAAATCTGGTGTAGTGGCTGAATAAAAAACCATTGAGGCAGCAAAGTCTCTTGATGTCTCTTGTGATTTTGTTCAGAGAAGCAGGACATTGCAAACTGCATGGAGCTTTGCGTTGGCTTCTACTTACCAAACTGTAAACCTGTAAGCTTCCAACCAAGAAGGATCATCTTCGTCAGGCGTCAAATTTGACCTGCTTTGTATCACACACTCGCCCCCCTTCCAAACAGTAAGCATATCATATTCTTTGTGCAACAACAGGCACATGTATGCAGTATTATATGCTCATACTTTCCTTTCATCAGGCTGGCCTCTTTGCAAAATCCCTGCCACCAAAAGATCCAAAAGAGTGAATCTGCGGCCGCAATTGGTCTTTCGGATCACACCTGAGATTGTGGCCGTGTATCTTCGAGCATATTCATCAATTCTCATGCATACTGGCTGATTGGCAAGATCTTTGCAGAACTTTCGGGCATGCCGGAGTGGAAAAAAAGTCTCGGATCTTACTGGAACATGTCATGCCATGGAATGCGTTTGTAATGCATTTGTAATGCCTGCCCTTCAAGCTAAGCCAAAACTCAAACTCCCAAGTTCATGACAAATGGGGCGGATCTCTTCTTTGGTCAAAATCTGTTCTCTGGTCGAACCTTGCATGGCAACTCATGTCAAATTGAAATCTGGTGTAGTGGCTGAATAAAAAACCATTGAGGCAGCAAAGTCTCTTGATGTCTCTTGTGATTTTGTTCAGAGAAGCAGGACATTGCAAACTGCATGGAGCTTTGCGTTGGCTTCTACTTACCAAACTGTAAACCTGTAAGCTTCCAACCAAGAAGGATCATCTTCGTCAGGCGTCAAATTTGACCTGCTTTGTATCACACACTCGCCCCCCTTCCAAACAGTAAGCATATCATATTCTTTGTGCAACAACAGGCACATGTATGCAGTATTATATGCTCATACTTTCCTTTCATCAGGCTGGCCTCTTTGCAAAATCCCTGCCACCAAAAGATCCAAAAGAGTGAATCTGCGGCCGCAATTGGTCTTTCGGATCACACCTGAGATTGTGGCCGTGTATCTTCGAGCATATTCATCAATTCTCATGCATACTGGCTGATTGGCAAGATCTTTGCAGAACTTTCGGGCATGCCGGAGTGGAAAAAAAGTCTCGGATCTTACTGGAACATGTCATGCCATGGAATGCGTTTGTAATGCATTTGTAATGCCTGCCCTTCAAGCTAAGCCAAAACTCAAACTCCCAAGTTCATGACAAATGGGGCGGATCTCTTCTTTGGTCAAAATCTGTTCTCTGGTCGAACCTTGCATGGCGACTCATGTCAAATTGAAATCTGGTGTAGTGGCTGAATAAAAAACCATTGAGGCAGCAAAGTCTCTTGATGTCTCTTGTGATTTTGTTCAGAGAAGCAGGACATTGCAAACTGCATGGAGCTTTGCGTTGGCTTCTACTTCCCAAACTGTAAACCTGTAAGCTTCCAACCAAGAAGGATCATCTTCGTCAGGCGTCAAATTTGACCTGCTTTGTATCACACACTCGCCCCCCTTCCAAACAGTAAGCATATCATATTCTTTGTGCAACAACAGGCACATGTATGCAGTATTATATGCTCATACTTTCCTTTCATCAGGCTGGCCTCTTTGCAAAATCCCTGCCACCAAAAGATCCAAAAGAGTGAATCTGCGGCCGCAATTGGTCTTTCGGATCACACCTGAGATTGTGGCCGTGTATCTTCGAGCATATTCATCAATTCTCATGCATACTGGCTGATTGGCAAGATCTTTGCAGAACTTTCGGGCATGCCGGAGTGGAAAAAAAAGTCTCGGATCTTACTGGAACATTTACTGTCCTCCTGAAGCCTTCCAACCATAAAGACTTTCAAGCTCGCCGCGAGATATGTCGGTTCTGCATCACATCACGCCTTCGGCAAACGGTGTCAAAAGTTTGTCTCGTGTAGAGAAAATTTTGACACAAAGCCTGCATAGAAACCTCAGCTGCGCTGCCGTTGGCTCCTGGCGGGAACGGCATGAAAAACATGAAAACAGCCCAACTATGTCCAACTCACAGTGACGGAGATGTTGACGCTGCCATTGGCGCGACTGAACTGTGAAGCCAGTCAAGAGCTGAGAACATTCCAGTCCTGAATGTGAGAACGCTTGGCTTTCCGCCGAACTTGTGGCACGAAACTTTGCGCTGGTGCAGGTTTGATGCTCTCGCAGCCTGGCTGCGAGCAGCTTTGTCATTGTCGACTCTGGATTCGTCGAAACATAATACAGCGCTGAGCTGAAAAACTAATGGAAACAAATGGAAACACTAAAAATGCAATCTTGACAGGAAAAGCGGAGGAACCAACAATGGGTAGATTGGGGTGCCTAGGCGGCCTGATGATGTCGGTGCCACGCCACTGTCCTGTCTGTTCTAGACCCGGTGGGAGGTTCAGCTAGGCAGCTTTCAACCATCGTATGCCGGCCACAGGATTTATCCAATCTCCAATACGTTGCGGTGAAATCCTGGTGCAAACTTTTGATGACTCTGCACACGACGAGGTATCATATGTATCATATGTATCATTGAATCAAATAACTTCAAACCTGTTCCCAAACCTTCGGTTCTGGGATGGGATGTTGGGATGTTGTGGATGGTCACGCCAAGAGCGTAAGCTCCGAGAGCTGCCTTGTCTTGGACTCTTTGTGACGTGGCCAAACCGCTTTGGGTCCACATAACTCATATGACCAATGTGTGTGTCCCGTCTGGGATCAATCGCCATGGTCTGTTTCACAGGCCATGGTGCAAAGGAGATCAAAGGAGCACATAGCTCCTTGGAAAATTGGACAGATTAAGTTTGTCCATTCTGTCCCTAGTAGCCTGAAATTTTCCTTACAAGTTCTTGTCTTTCCAGCAGTCTGCCAATAGGAATCTTTTGTGCAATCGCCCCCACCATGCCACTGAAAAAACAACTTTTGTTGTTATACGTATACGCGGACTGTCGCCCCTGTCGCTCTCTTCAATAATCATGTCAAGGTAACACCTGGCAGTTGAAACAACTGGAGATGTCCTCTCCTGTTCATCTTACCAGCAGTGATGGTATGTGATGACCACCATTGAGCTCTGCTATTCTCAATTTCTTAACTCTGCCCTGTGCCTTCCGCTGCAAAAACCGCAATCATCTGCTTGCCCTGCATTCGCACCTGAACCCAGGCGAAAAAAATAAACCACAAATTAAAATACATATTCAAATGCTGAAACAAAGAAAAACAATCAAAAACACATTAGGAAAGAGACCAAACAAATACGATCAGATAATGTGAAATGTATGTGTAATGTGCTAACTTGATATCCGTTTGTCATTGTGCGAAAAAAGGTTGATCAAAACCAGTGGTGTGACAAATATGTGTCGTTGCCTTCTTCAGCAGCTCGATGCGCTTCGCGGGCGCCTCGCGCTGCCAGGCGCCGTAGCGCAGCAGCAGTCCTTGATTTCACAAGTGACAAACAAAGTGACACAAATCAGGGCAAAACAGGAAAAACAAAATGCAAACCCAGCAAAACTGGTTTCACATAAAAATTGAGTCAAATTGAAGCACACAACATATCAACAATGTTTTTGGATTCAATCTGCTTTAACAATAATCAACTACAACTAAACAACTCATGGCATGTGCTACTGTACTGCCGATGTCTCTGCAGTTCTGACTAGGCACGTGCTTCTTCGCGCCTCGCGCTTGTTATGCCTCGGAATTGCAAACAGCATCGGTGCCATCTTTCAAGTTTGATTGTGAAGGAAGACTGAACCAGGGAACAACGCAAAGCAAGGCTCTGTGTACAACATGGCATGCCACAACCCTTGGGCTTGACCAAGTGGTTGCGAACCTTCTTTTCGCCTGCCTAATCTTGCCAGAAAAAAATGAAACTCCTGCACCGAGTTATAAATTTGACGTCTTTCAAGACCCGTCAAACCAAGCGCACAAGAAACGCTCCATCAATTCCTTCTGCCGATTCTTCGGCCAATCTTGCATAAGTGCAAACAGTGGACCTCTGTTGTCTCCTAAGTTCTCAAATAAAAAAAATCCAACACACGGGCAAGTGTTGGCTATAGGCATCAAGGATTGAAACTAATTAGCGACCAAAACTTTCCTTCGAAGGTCTACTTAGGCTCGGTAGTTTTGCTTGGTTGTTGCCGACCCCAGTTTTCAAGGAGTGGCATCTCGATCGACCACCTGCCAGGAGCAGTGCACCGTAGAGGGAGGCGCCAAACGCACAAGCAACCAACGCCGTCAGGCGCAAAGTGCGCTGGTGACAGGTAAAGGGATATTCTTCATTTACAGTATAAGTATATATATATATATTATATTAATTTATATATACTATTGAAGGACGAAGCCAAACTTCCGACAATATGGGCAGATGGAAAAGCGGAAGTGGGAAGAGTCAGAGAAGAGAAAGGCAGAAGAAAGAAGATCAGAGAAGAGAAAGGAACAAGAAAGAAGATACAGGCGCATGAAAAGGAGAAGAGTCGCGAAATACTGTCTTTGTCCAATGTTTTGTGGCTCTGGAGGGTCGAAAAGTGGGCTCACTAAAGCGGCGGGTGCGGAGCCTTGTGGAGAGATGAGCGATGACAAATTGCATGCCGTTGAGGCGCGACGCACATTTCGAACTCAAAATGTCATAACACCTCATGCTCGGAGCGCTTTGGGAATTTGAGATGTAAAAAAAAGGTCACGCCCTTGTGGCGCGAAGCACATCTCGAAGTTCAAACGTACAAGACACACCATGTTTGGAGCACTTTTGGAAGTTGAGATGTTGATAAAGTGCACGGCGTTGTGGTGCAAAGCACATTTCCAAGTCAAAAGGGTAAACACACACCTTTCCCGGAGCAGTTTTGGACGTTGACCATTGTCCGAGCACTTTTGGAAGTTGAGATGTTCAAAAAGTAGTAACGCAACCATTCCCGCATCTCACACTTCTTTGAGCAAAATTGCTCTTTATGTCACCAAATGAATTAGTGAGGTCATGCTACGCGCTGCTTCGCTCACGTGGATCTAAATGAGTGCCTCTGTGGCACTTCTCATACATGGCTTGACATGCAACTTTTGCGTTGTGCCACATGTGTTGTGCCAAATGTGTTTCTGTGAAGACATCTCTCCACCCGACGTAGAAAAGTGCCAGGGTGCTAAGCGAAAGCGCAGTTTCCGTGGTGCTTAGTGGTACCACATCATGCCGATGTGCTGCCACGTCGATGCCTCGACGAAGCAGGCCTGTGATAGCACAGCACTTGACAGCATTTCCATCTCTTGGAAAGTGTGATGCCAGCTCTGCGAGTGTCTGAATAATGCTCGGCATTTAATATTGCTAGTTAGCTGCTGGTTGTTATTGCAGGAAACAATATTTGTGTTTTTGTCAAAAATCATCGGCCTTCCAACACATCCATGTATCCACGAAGCACCGACCAAAAGAGGGCAGGGACTGACTTTTGTGCCAGTGCCTCAGAGGGAGGCTGTTCGTCAAAATGCATCGCGCACCAATGTCATCAATGTGCCAGGTGCGCAAACAATTTAGGCTGGGGGATTGATAACATGAAGCCGTTGACATGCCATCGAAAAGACACCGAAAAGACCCTGCCATGTTTGCTCCTTAATGATCTGAATGTTCCTGGAGAAAACGAAGAGTCGACGCCTCTCCGACATTGCGCTCATCAGCGATCTCGAGGAGCACCAATGCCATGTTGGGCTTTTCACAAGAGACTGCCCAGTCGACACCTGCTTAGCTCCACAAATACGGACTGATGCACGTCATTGGTCATCATTGCAAGATCTTGCGAACTTCAAGACAAGCTAAAAGAATATAAAATAATACTGAAACTTTAGCATGCTTTTCACCATGCTTTACCATGCAGGACTCAGATCGACAGAATGTATCCACTGAGGACGAATCTAAATGACCATGAATGACGACTTGAATGACGACTTGAATGACAATACAGCCAAGCGTCAGTTGCCCTTTTCGCCATAGCCCAAGTCGAAGGTCAGTTCCATTGGAGCACCACGCCTCTTGCATTGTTAGATCAACACAAAACCTCTGCACATCGAACTTCCACAAAATGCATGCTGAGAAGATTCGAGCAAACAAAGACAGCTTGGAGGCTTCACGTTGCACAATTCTGTCCCATTCCCGTGCAAAAATATGCGAACTGTCACCACAACTCTGCCAGGTTGCTGCACCAGCGCTCTCACGCTGATGATATCACTTTTGCGGATGGCTTTGGACAAAGCCACCAGCAACTCCTTTTGCTCTCGTCGCGCCTCATCATGGCCACACTCTTAAGCACTGCACTACTTGGCACCAGATCTTGGCACTGCTACTAGTGCCAGTACTGCTGGTACTGCTAGTTGTCATTGCATGGCAATGCGGCAATGCCCCAAGTGCGCACCTCTGCAACTGTCGGCAAAGGACCCCATGGCAAAATTTCCGTCGGCTCGGGCACGTAGCCGGGCAAAGTGCTTGGCCTACGATCGCGCGATGCAAGACATTGCACAGGGAGGGCTGTCGGCTGTCGCTTGCTCTTGCTGTACTCATGACATGTAACATTATTAACATATATTAACATTGTATTTCTCTACGTAGGCGTCAAAATTGGGTCCAGAAATTGCTCCGCTGCACCAAACACACACCAAATCTGTGGGTCCCTGGGTCTTCCACTTTGACACATCCCTGGGCTTGCCTGTTTGGCATGTTTGGCATGATCTTGAACAATCTTGAACATGAAGATGTACTGGAGGTGAGAATGATTTAGAATGGTTAGAACTCTGCAATGTGGGTCAAGACCAGAAGAACAGCATTGATCAAGATTCTTGTGATGTAATGCGATGCGGCATGTACAGAAAGGCTTCGGCATGGTTCGGCATGCTTCGCCTTGCCCGCGCAGCTAGGCTGCTTCTTTCCTGGATCTCTGCCCAGGTCAAGTTCCGGTCTTCCTGGAAAAGACTCGACATGCAGACTTGGAACATCAAAATCAGCAAAGCACAGTCACATAAGCAACAAAAGTGAAGCTTTGGTAATTGGTTTGAGGCTTTGTTTGATTCCAGGCCCTTCTTTCTGGACATTCCTTGTCGTTTGCCCCGGCTACATAACGGCAACACGGCTGCATCAAACGCCTCCTTGACATCTGAAAGCACCTGAATTACCTGGAAGGCTGAAAGCAAACCGATCAAACTGAATCTTGGATTTTGCTACTCTTTGCTTCATTTTGATCGCCTCCAAGAGGACTACTACAGCTCCAACATATTCCAACATGATTCTTGGTTTCGGGAAGGGGTGGTCGATTGAAATCACATGCGTGAGGGGAGGAACCACCCTCCACCTCGTGGAAATCGGGCAGCTTGGGATCCAAAGCATTCTCCTTTCGGGCTGCCAGGCCTGCATTTCAGTCCAGACACAAACATCCACTGGCAATCTGCGATGTACACACATAAGCTATCATAGACACGTGCGCCATGAAAAATACCCATCCCATCTCATTTTGCTAGTTGGTTGATCGGTTTTCTTACCATGGGTTATCATTGTAGCTACTATAAGCCCCCATATTAACCAATCAACTAGGGTGTTTTTGCAGTAATGGCTCGTGAAAGTGACGTATGAGACTTTCACATGCAAACTTTAAAAAAGACGAAACTTTAAGTGACCCGAGATCAGTGTTTTTTCAACATGGAGTTGGAGCCACCCTACGGTGACATGGTGCCTGCTGCTTCGATGATACATTGGAGTCGCTGTGCCTCACGTGGCATGCCATGAGATCATGAATGATCATGAATGATCATGAATGATCATGAATGATCATGAATGATCATGAATGATTTCATGATCTCATGGCATGTATGATCATTTTGATATATATATATATATATGTATATATATATACATTTATTGATTGATCATACAGTTGATGAATGTTGATGACATCCTGACAATTCATGACTTATTGAGACATATTGAGCACACATCATTTGAGCACATATCACTATGTTGTCTGGAACGTTAGTCGCTGCCAGATCTGCCAGGCCTCTGCGTGCATCAAGACCTCCTCCTTGTGATCTTCCTGCTCCCAAGCACCACGCTCCAAGAGCATTGCTGCAACTTCCTGACAGATTCATACAGATTCTGCATTCATTGCAGATGACCGGAACATCCGGAACAGAATCTAAATATGTCTTAGATATTCTTAGATTCTAATAGATTCTAAGAGAACAATTTGCTTACAGGACCGGATCTATCGGATCTATCGCTTTTTCTGACGCATTTCTCCTCTTCCCCATTTCGTGCTGCCAAATGCAGAGCTGTGCAGCCGCTGATGGGTTCGCGTTGGATGCAGGAGGCGTTTCGCTGCAGGAGTTCTCGGAGGAGCTGCACTTGACCTGCAAACTCGGGAGCATTCTGTGGACTCCGTCGACCATTCAAGTTCCGTCGCTTCATGTGACACCGCAAATCTGGATGCAAATCATGGCAACGGCAATTTTCGGCCTCGAGTAGAAGCCACCACCACTGCCTGTTGACATCGCTGAGCCATTCGCACCACCTAGATGGGCGCGGGGCGGCGAGCAAGTCATGCGATTTCACAAACAGCTCTGACTTGACCGAGAAAAAACATCCAATTTCAAAGGAAACTACGCAGCTCTCTATCGTAGCAAAGCTGCCTGCAAAGTGCTGCACTCCTCATCACGATTGAAAGCCATTTTCCCATCGGTGAGTTCCAGAAGAAAGATGGCTTCCTGTCAAAGATCGAGTTGTGGGGAATCGGTACATCTTTGCAACCGTGGGGCAATTTGATATCATGCATCGCTTTGACAAGCAACGACTACATGCTCTTTTGCAAAAATGAAATGCGATTCGACTGAATGACAAGCACTTCACAGGTCACAACATATACAAAATACAAGCCATTACAACCCTATTATATATATACGTATAGATTTATATTGCTATTGCATGCTATTGCACAACCCTGCGCCTGATAGAAACCTTCTAGAACAGCCCAATCTACTGGATTCACCAGGCTTTGTTTTGGCCCTTTGGACGTGCCATTCACTCCAGAGCCAGTCCTGCACAGCAAACCACGGCTACAACGGCTATGATTTGGGAAAGCATTTCGAAACACATCGAAATGAAGGAAAATCGAAGGAAAAGAAACACATGTCCAACGTGTCAGAAACTGGAATTGTGGAGCTTGCGTCGGCCTTGCTGGCATTCTGGCTGTGTAGTAGTGTGCAGACAAGGAAGCACCTGACAATTCCGTCGGCAAGGTATTGTGCATTACTATCATATACTGTCATGAAGTAGCATTTAGATCATTTAGCATTTCTCATAATATTCTCATAGCTGTATTTTGTTGTGCCATGGCCGTGACATGACAAGATATGACAAGGGGAGTGCGGCATCGTTCATCCGCGCCTCGATTGATTGCAGAACGAATCTGCGCAGGGTCCGAGGAGCGGATTCCCTCTGTCAGCTCTGCACGCAGCGCCTGGAAGACTGAGATAAGCTGATTTGTAAAGGCAAGGCAACAGTTAAGTTAAAATATGGCAAGGTATATGGCAAGGTATCACAATGCTCGGAATTGAAGCGGATCTTATTCGACATCTTGCCAACACCGATCAATTTCAGACATCTCGAGCGAGTTCGCAAAAGTGCATCTGGTCCTGAAATATCCTGAAGCTCTAAACAGCCAGAAATAACTGATGGTTTCTCCAAACAACCATTTGTGAAGGGAATCTTCACCACCCACAAAACACCGGTTTCTGCTTGCTTTGCGTTCCAGGTTGGCATCTGCTGTTTTCTCTTGCGTCTTGCGTGTTGCATCTTGTTTGGTGCGTTTTTGGCATCAAGGCACTGCGTGGAGCTTCAACAGCTGCACTGGATTGGAGGAGACACGGAAAGGTGTGGCTTCGCCTCGTTGGAACAGTGCCAATGCAGTCCAGGATGCAACAGGTCATTGGACCAACATGAATCAGCGGGATCCATGGAATCAACAGAAAGGTGAAGACTCGGCTAATAATCAGCATTAAAGATCATTAAAGATCAGTAAGGATCATTCAAGAGTCTGTCGGGTATGTCCTGAGAATGTTGCATTGATATAGAAAAGGTGACCGGGTCACCGAGCCTCGCATTGTGAAGCCTTTTTCCAACTCGTTCTCTGTGCTGTACGCGAAGGCTGCGTGAGCTAGGAGCACCTGGGTGAAACAAACCGAAGGCCTTGAGCCCCAGTGCAACCCATGTGCTACAATTTTCATGTTTTTTTTTCATACTTTTTCTGCATTTTTAATTCAACTTCTCCGAGTCTACAAGATTTCCATTGCCATGACTCGAATTGACTAACCTGCGAGATGTAAGGCAGCTATCCGCAGGTCTCGTTACTAAAAGCCAAATCTAAATCCTAACGGATCCTAACAATCACACCACTTTCTCGTGCTTTCATGGTTTTGTTCGAGCTAAATTCGCTTCCCTAGTTTCTGGACTTCTTGAAACCTTTACCCAGAGCGCCTTGGCCACTGTCTTGACATCAATCTGACAGCGGAGAATTCACACGAAAACACGTCATCGTATGCAAAAAGCAGCAATCTGATCACCTGGGGCGGATCAATTTCTACTGCCTAAGATTGAGATTTTCAAAAAGTACGTGGCACATGTTTCATGATTATCGTGATGAATACTCAATGAATACTCATCCGTTTCTCATCTTTATCATTTTATATGTGTAGGGAAAGTTGTTCGAGCTGAGCGCAACATGTCGCTGTGGAAAACCGGGGTCCCTTCATAACTGAACTGATTTCACCGGCCTTCTGCAATTCAAAGTCCAAATCCTGCACAAATTCACGAGACTGGAGTCGCAAGATTGGAGGTTTAGTGGAACTGCATTGGGATTACATTTCAATCGCATTTGAACCTGGGCGCATTTGAATAGTTGACATGTTTCTCAGTGTTTTCGCCACTGAATCACTGAATCATGACATATCCTGATAAAATACAATAGACAATGACAATATATGACAATCATCAGGATGCCACGATGGGGCCGATGCCCAGGCCTCGGTCACCGTGGCTTCGGGGACCTGGACACGGATGGACACGGATGGACACGGCAAGGCCGAAACAGGTGTGGATTTTTCGATTCTGCGAGCGTCTCCAAGTGTGCGGTGCGTGTCTCCAAGTCACATCTAGTATTGGTTCATGTTGGTTATTGTCTAGTCAGTCTAGTCACATGTGTCAATCACGTGAGAACATGTGATATCTAGCCAAAGTTGACAAAGACTTGAAGTGTTGTGAGCACTCATGCGTCCTTGCAACAAATGAAATCACTCTTGACGGCTGTGACAGGAAACAAGATGGTCATGCGGTCTTGCAAAGGTCTCATGCAGAGTGAGATTGCGCAAGATTCTGGCAAAGAGATTCAGCATTTCTCGATATTTCTCGTTTGGTCACATGAATTGGGTGAGATTGCCGCGCCTTGACATCGTCCATAACATCGATCCATAACAAGTGCTTCACCAATGCATCTGCAGCGAGTTCCAGCTGTTTGTCATCCGCGACGTCTGCAACGTGCGTCGCCAATGCCGCAGCCACAGCGTCGTACTGGGAGTTGACAGGGCGGCAATTCCGAAGCATCAAACGAGGTAACAACGGATGGGTGACCCTGTCTGAGAATCAGTTGATGGTGGATGTTGGTTTATGGGAATGATGCCGGATGCCGGAAAAACGGGGGATGAAGTTTGGAACACAAAAGTTGGCACATCGAATGATGGAATAGGATGAATAGGATGAATAGGATGAATAGGATGAAAAAAAAAAACTTTACTTCGTGTGATCCCCACCATGACATTTATACATTTTCTTACTGGCAAATCTTCTGGCATTCTATCTGACATATTTTCTGGCATTCGATCTGGCATT